CGAGAAGGTCCCGAAAAGGTGAAAAACTGAAAAACGAAATCCTGACGAGCCGCTGCCTTTAACTTTCTGAAAACTACTGAATTACTCAGATGCTCGCCAAACTGGTGTGTGCGCGACATAAGCCTCGTCAACAAACCGTGATTCCTTTTGATTTCGTACCAATCCTCTTCGAAGAAACTCCCATAGGAGATGTTCGCATGTTGGGAGGAAAGCTTGGCAACTCAATACAACAAAAACTGGGTGTGGGGGTATGTTGGATGCTGGGAGTGCATAGGAAAGTTTTGACGGTCTCGTTCCAGACTATGGCAGATTTGGCAGCAGTACCGTATGATCTCATTGAACGACACTTTAGTGATCAAGCACAGTGGATCAGTCAGTTGGCCAAGGGACTGGATGATGAACCTGTAAGTTAATTTCGATCATTTCGAGAAAAATTCTTTTCCCTGGTTAAGATGAATGGGTACATCTGCGTGTGGTGATTCAGGTAAAACCGCGCAACAACCAGCTTTCCATTGCAGTCAGCAAGACCTTTCCAGGGAAAAATGCTCTGACTACCGTCGCTGAAGTACGCAGGTGAAGTCCTTTGAGCCGCCCACGTTTTCTCAGTCGTTTTAATTTTTTTCGATGACAAACGTTTTCATTTTCAGTTTTGTTCTTGCAGAAGAACAGTTTGCTATTTCCATGATTTTCTACCATTATTTTGCATATTTCACACATTTTTCTGTTCTCTGATCAAAAGCTTTTTTCTAATCAAAATTCATGTTTAGGTGGATCGAAGGCCTGTCTAAAGAGCTGTCCAAGAGACTTGTAGCGGACCAAGTTAAGGTAAGAACGTTTTTTAGAGCCTACTTTTCTCGAATGCACTTAATGTACAACTTAGAATAAAAGAACGGCAGAAAATGTGATTTTTGGCATATTGAACGAAACGCACACATCGAGAACTGTCAAAATTGGCTCGTACGCTCCACAGGCAATAGCTGAAGTGATGTGGAATGTAGCGAAATTATTCAACAAAGCGCCTACAGGAAGCGAAGAGTGGTGATTAATTTCTTTTCCATATATTTTTCTGCAGATGTGTTTTTGGCCCTTAGGACACCGCCGGTATACCTTCTGTCCATGAGCGCTTCTCGCTTTACTGAGGGACTGAGCGTACAATCACAGAACATCATGGAGTGGATACAAAAACGTTTACAACTAAGCGAGGCTGGTCGAGGTTTATTCCAACCGCCTTCAACTGCACCACCGGAACCGAGAATATTTGTGAAAGGAGTTTTGAAGAGACCCGCTGATCTGGTAAGTAGTCCCATTCTAGATGCTCTCTAATTTGCCTCCATTAATTTCTTCAAGGAAGCACCCAGTACGTCTACAGCCACTGGCTCCGCCAGCAACTCTCCAAAAAGTTCGCCTTACAAAAAGAAAAATAAGAAAGAGGAGGAGCCTGAAGTCAAAGTGGATGAAGAAGGATGGCAGGTATGTGTTTTATGTATTTTTACTCCAGAAATGCTTCAGTCATTCAGGTCTATGATCCGACAAAGTTCGAATCTACAGAAGATTCAAATCACGCACCTGCAGTGCCGGCGGTGGAACTCAGTGATATTGGAGCTATATCATCATCTGTTTATGAAGAGCTACCGGCGCATATCAAAGCGGTAGGTTTTGTTAGTTATCCTATATTATCATACTTACGAACATCTGATTTTCATCGTTGTTTGCTTCAGAAAAGGCAGAAGTATCAGTTCTGAATTTTCTCTTTCGTCCACATGAAAATTGTGCTTACAGGAGTTGGCCCATTTTCACAAATTGGAACAAGCGAAGCGCCTAAAAGCAGCCGCTGGTGAACGCGAGAAAAAACCAGGGGCTAAAAAACGTGCCCCTAAAAGTAATGTTAAGGAGCCGCCAGTTAAGAAGAAGCTGGATGAGTTTTTCAAAAAAGAAAAATGATTATTTTTGTGCTGTCAATCAAAAGAAATTGCCAGATACCTCATACATTATGCTTTGCTTAAATGCTTGCTTTACCTGCATTTTTTCTGCAATTTCGATGTTTCGATGTTTATGATTCACAGTTGTCATGTATGCATTCCCTACTAGCAGGTTCATCTTTGTTCTGCTTTAGGTAGTGACGCAAATTAGGATCTCTTGTATAGTTGCTTCCACGATC